TCCTCCTCCTCCTCCTTTCTCTTCTTCCATTCCTCCTTTTTCTCCCCTCCTCTTTCTTCTTCTTCTTCTCCTCCTTCTCCTCTTCTTCTTCCTCTTCTTTTTCCTCTTCCTCTTTTTCTTCTTCCTCCTCCTCCTTTCTCTTCTTCCACTCCTCCTTCTTCTCCCCTCCTCTTTCTTCTCCTCCTCCTTCTCCTCTTCTTCTTCTTCCTCTTTTTCTTCCTCCTCCTCCTCCTTTCTCTTCTTCCACTCCTCCTTCTTCTCCCCTCCTCTTTCTTCTTCTCCTCCTCCTTCTCCTCTTCTTCTTCTTCTTCCTCTTCCTCTTCCTTTTTTTCTTCCTCCTCCTCCTCCTCCTTCCTCCTCCTCCACAGTTCACAACTGTTTGGTCCCTCCTCAGTCATTGTTGTTACCTCTCGATGGACGGAGTTTCTAAGGCCAGCTTCTTCTCGATCTTGCAGCGGTTCTCCCTTCAACCTATAACATCAGCAGTGGTGGCTGAGCTGAAGTTCCTGCATTCCAAGAAGAGAATGTATAAAAGGAATGGCCTCATGGCCAACGTGACCGTGACTTCTGCCACCCCAGAGGTAATACCAGTTTCCGTTGCAACTTGGAACAAACCATAGCTTAAATGGGGCGTCTCTTAGGAGGCCGTCTAACGTTGAATAACATCATCGGTGCTGGAAGGCAGTGGGGGTTGTGGAGTGGAAGAGGAGGTGGAGGAGGAGGGCTGTGGGGTCCTTGGTGCTCTCTGAGCTTGGTGGTTTCCTTGCAGACATTTCATGACCCACCTAAGCCAGGGCTAGTAGGGAGTACAAAGTGCTAACAGGGAGAGCAATGCCCACTCCCTACAAATCCTGATGGTATTACCTAGTTTGGTAATGAAACGTCCTCAAGAAGCTCAGAGAGGACCAAGGACTCCATAGTTAGTTTAGTTTATTGTCATCGCACCTCGTACAGTGAAATTTAAATGCCATCTGAAGTTTATATTATAACTATAAAAATAAAACACAAACACACAATCCTTTGCATTCTATGCCATTGAATTGAATAGAATTGAGTTAAATAGAATGCCTTAAAGTCAATAATAGGTTTGTATCTCAAAATAAAAAGAACTAGGGACTGGAAGGATTAAAACTCCTGAATGCCCATCCTTGATTTAGCCGAATTCCAGCTGTGTTCCTGAAGTGATGTTTCCTTGAAAGGTTCACTATTTAATGCCTTCCGTAACGGAGATTAGATTTTTCCATGGTGCTTAAAATATTTCCTCCTAACTGAACAGGATCGATCTAAGACCTAAGAAAGGATTTCCTGCCTTCTCATGTACTGTCAAGGAGGCCTGTTTGGTGACGGATTTAAAGGCCAAAATGTTTTCAGATTAGCTAACTAGCTGGATGTGAAACAACTCCAGATGTTCTTGGAAACACGGTGTGGTGGTTCTGGAGAATTGACTTAAATGGAAGAGAGTTAAATGTTCCTCATCTGGGCAACCTCATCCCCTTTTTGTGGATAGCCATGGGGGAATTAAACCAAATATTTATTTAATCAACAAATTTACACATGCTGCTTGCTAATTGCTTCTTAAACATTTACAAGTGGAAAGGGTTTTAATGGAAATTCTTTTTTTTTTTTTTTAGATTAGGTTTATGATCATGGCTGTGTTTTCTCCCCTCAATTTTTCTCCTCCCCCCCCCTTCCTCCTCTTCCTCCTCCTCCTGCTGCTGATAGTTAAGATCATATGGTATCTAGTCTTTTAGGCCACAAATTAGTTTAGGAAACTTCTACTGTTGTTTTTACACACTCGAGTTATAGCAGTTCACAGCTAATGTCTTGCAGATGGAAACAATTTACTGGGCCTATTTGCTCAAGACAAGAGAAATTCTTCCCATGTTTGTTCAAAAGAAGACATCTGTCGCATAGAAGCAGTTCAGACATAACCAACTTGGCCTAGTTCGAATACCTTGTTTACTAAACAGGGCAGACTTATTCTGCATACATACATATTCATGGCATTTAAGGTTTCTTTCCATTCCGTTTCACTGTGTGGTTTTTCAGACAATACACTTAAAATAGCTGGGAGTGTTGATGTTATGGCGTTCCTACAGCCAGAACGATTATATTGTTCTGGAGCTGATTGAACATTGCACACTCCTTTAGCAAATCTGATTTTTAAACTGCAGCTCCTCCTTAGTAAAGCTGTCTAGGGTGGCAGTTTTGCTTTTAAACTGCGTCTGGCAAGATTTGAACATGCTTTGAACAATGTTTGTGCATATCCACCCCGCCCACCCCCCCCCTCCCCCCTCACATTAGCAAGTTTTTTGCAAATAAATCTTGATCTGGGTTTCCCCCCCCCCCATTTGCATTGTTAATGCTTAACTAATCAAGTTATCCCTGATATCTTCGACCAGACTCCTTAACGCCTGAGCTAGTTTTAAAACTGACATAATTTGTCAGCAACACAGGACAGATTACAGGATTACCTCTGCTCTGTTTTATAACTCTAGAGAGCAAATAACCTCAGGTAGTGAGCTGACATATTCTTTTACATTTGAGGGGGGAAAAAAAGTCTTGTAATTGGAAACAGGAGCAAATAAATCGCCGTATTTTTCAGAGTATAAGACACTCCAAAATATAAGACCCACCTAGCTTTTGGAGAGGAAAACAAGGGGGGAAAAAAATCTGCCTCTGCCTCCCAGCCATTTGCCTCCTTGCAGCAAACAGCCTGTTTCAGCTTAGGGCTTGTTTTGGGAGTAGGGCTTATATGGGGCAAGAACGTGTAAAAATGAAGGTAGGACTTACTTTCAGGGTAAGTCGTATTTTCGGGGAAACAGTGTATCCCCTGTCAGCGATGAAGAGAAGGGTTGTGTTAGAACACCTGTACTTTCATCCTCTTGTCTTGGGAATATTTGTCGCAGGTTATTTGAATGTCTTTAAGCTGCGAGCTGCCCAGAGTCGCTTCTTCGAAACAAGATGGCTCCAGCAGATACATAAAGCAGAAATTAAAATAAACGAAGTCACCCATTCCTTCCTTCCTTCCTTCCTTTTTCCCCCCCCTTCTAGGTCAGTAGCAGTTCTGACTCTCTGGAAGGACAGAGTTCGGATTATGCTCACAAGAGTTACGATGCCGTCGTGTTTGACGTGCTAAAAGTAACTCCAGAGGAGTTTGCGGTAAGTAAAAAAGGTTTTGCATCTTGAAGTATGCTGAACAGTAGTAGCCGTAAGTACTAAAATAAGTTCCTGCTCAGTTAGTTGTAGTCAGCTGGTTTTCCACACATTAGATCAGTGCATTCTCTCTCTCTCTCTCTCCTCCCTTTCTTTCGCTCTCCTCCCTCCCCTTCTCTTTCTTCTCCCTCTCTCTCCCTCCCTCTCCCTTTTCTCCTCCCTCCCTCTCTCTCTCCCTCTCCTCTTTCTCTCCTCCCTCTCCCTCTCT